CTTGGGATAAACTGCTTTACTCCTGGGACAAACTGTTTTGTGTGGGTTTTTTCTTTTTGACTAAACCTTCTCGTAAACGTTATTTTTCTCATCATTGCTCAGCTCTGAAGATCACAGTGTTTTCCAAGGCTTTGTGTTTTTAATTGCTAAGTAAGGGCTTAAAGGCTCCCACAGTCTCTAATCAAATCTGCAAGACCAACCTCCAGTCTCACCATCCATACACCCAGCCCCCCCGCCCCCCTTCCAGGGATTATCAAGACCACTTCAGCAGCTCTGAAAAACCCACGCAAGTGAAGATCTGCTGCACAGTCAGACCCTCTGGGAGTCATTAATTGACAAATTTTGCAGCAGTCTGAAAATTTAAGGACAAGACACTGCTTTCTCTACTACTATCCAGAAAAAAAGCCTGTCATTTCAAGGGTCTTCTCCTTCCTCTCTCTAGCCTTTTACTGGAATGTTTCCCTAAATTTCAAAGATTACCCCAATTTCAAGCAGAAAGGGTTGGAACCAACCTGGGTCCAAGAATCACTTGCTTCCTTCAGATCTCCGAGAGAAGAGGGATTTTTCTGTTCAGTCTTGGAGTACAATTACGTCAGTCATATCTAACAGAATTTATTATTTACTAGTAAGATCAAAAATGGTTTTCCTGGTCATTCATATACTTGTACATATACATCATTGCAATATAAACCCTTTTCGAACAAGGCCTTCCATCCAGTCCTTCCACGCATTTTCAGAAAATACTTGTGAAAAGTTAACTTTGCTACTGTACCATTATTTTCTATAATTTTCATTGAATTTTCTATGCACACATGCAGTTGGAGACATAACACAAAAACTAGCACTTCCTTTAGCAATGGCAAGGAAAGATTAAAAAGGTCCAGACTAAAAAGCTGGAGGGCCAGAGAAGCACCCTTAGTCCCAGCAATGGCATCATCTGCTCAGCTGGACTTCTAGCACTAGTTTCTTGCTTAGTGCAGTTCCAAACAATCCTCATTCTCCCGTTGCACTACAGAAATGTGTACCTTTAAGGTGTAAAAAAAAATGCAAAGTGCATCGAAAGACAGTTTAGGTCTTCAAGATTCCTTAAATTAAGAAAAAAAACTAGCTAGGCAGCCTTATTTCACGCTTCTACTACAATCCCTTTTCTCCCGCATATTTCGAAGAAAGCTACAGCCAGACCTCATGGTCCCTGCCTGGAACACGTTTAATTCAGGAGAAATCTTTTAAGAAGTTATTTGTTAAATTAAAATGTAGCAAACCTCTCCTGAGCATGAGTAAACTTAATCTTTTCAAAGACCTGAGATAAGGTCAGGTTTTCAGATGGCCAGTGGCTCAGCCCAAAAGGTCTGCTCCAAAGCAGAGGAACTAGAGCTGCCCAGTGAAGTGCACGTAAATGGTTGATTGTTTCTAACAGTGACAAAACAACCCATTTTCTCTAACCACATTTGGATAAATGGGTAAGATTTTAAGCAAGAGTAGTTCAAAGAGATGTGTCAGTCTCAAATGGACAAAGCAGCATCAGCCCAAATGGGAAGGCTTAGAAAAGTTAAAAGCCAAGCCAAGTTGAAAAGAGTCTCTTAATGGAAATCCTGCACGACCTGCCCTCCGCTCAGTTCTCTTCAGGGCAAGGACCGTGATTTGTCTCCATCTTCCACAAAGTGCTGAGCGTATGTCAGCGCTGCACCCTACGCAATAACAACAGTGTAAATGGAAGAAGGGTGAACTACAGAAAATAGAACTGTATTTCATCCAAGCAGCTTCCCACCAGCTAATCTTCACTTCTACACAATTCCACTCACATACTTACACACCAACATAGAAAACCATCGTAATACAGTGGCTTTTGCTCCTATGCCTTCCTTTTCTGACTCATTTGTGTTAGAATGAATCACAAATAAGTAAATCACCTGGCTTAAAGGTAATTTTCTGATTTTTGGTTTTGTTTCTTTGACACATCAAATCCAAAGATTGTGTTGCATGAACAGTAATTTTTTTATTTCAGCAGAAATTGATAGAACTCAAGAATGTCTTTCATCTCAACAAATCAAACTACATAGAAAATGTATGATTTTTAAAAAATTTTTACTGTAAACATTGCAAAGAGGGGGGGTTTAAATTTATTTACTCATTTTTGTGTTTGTCTCCAAGTCAAGTCAATGGGAAGACAATCTTAGGGGACACAAAAATTGTATTTTTTCACTGCTGGTCTGTGTGAAATTTCTTCCAACTCCGTACACTTATTAATCCAAGTCAATCAAAGTCAGTGCTTTGTTATAAGAACACAGGCCTGAACTGAGAATGTACCTGTCTCTTGGGTATTACACAGAACTGATCCATGAGGATATTATGCAAGTGTACACAATACCCCCCAAATTCCAGTGCTACACAATACACTTTTATATGCTAGTCTGCAAGGCTAAATGATTTCAGAACTTGAAAATGTTTCATATGAATTGGATCCTTTAAGGATTAAGTGTAGTTTGCCCTGGTTGATGTAATGCTGTACAGCAGTCACACAGACTAATTTAGAGATGCAATTTATTTCTCTATTGTAAGGAAGATACAGGCTAAATTGCAAAGGTTGCTTTATTAAGTGACAGCTAAAGCTGAGCCAATAATTCACTCTGAATAATTTATGCACTTATTTTTCATCTTTTTTTTTTTTTTTTAATCAAGAATGCCTGAGAGAAGATTTCAGTCTCTCCAACATACCTGTTAACTGAAATTGCCCTTAGAATGCCTTACATGGTGTGCTGTTACATGCCCGATGTTCATAGCTCTGCTTCACTGCGATCGGTAAGCAAAACCTATGGCATAGGCTGTTCTGGCTGAATGATTAGCAACAATCACATTTCTTGTCCAATGTAGACTTCTTTTTTTCCCTTGTACTGCCTCATTTTATCTGTTGTGCTTTTATCAAGAACTTGACAAGTTTAGCTGAACATTACACTAAATAAAAAAAAAGCGCACTGCCGTTCTACAGATAATAAAACTGGGAGTACAAAGTAGTTAGGGAGGAAATCCTGACACATGTCCTGCAGCATCTTCCAGTAACGTGGTGATTGCATTATGCAATGCTGAAGGAGAAGAAAGTCCACCTGACATAGAATAGTGAAAAACTTGGTTCATTGAATCATTGAATCATAGGATGGTTAGGGTTGGAAGGGACCTTGCAGACCATCTAGTTCCAAACCCCCTGCCATGGGCAGGGACACCTTCCACTAGACCAGGGTGCTCAATGTGGTTGTTAACCACATCATCTATTATCAGTACAGAGAAACCTTCTGCTGAATGTGACTGGAGGAAGATACAGACACACGTGGAAGGAAACTGATTCTTCAGTCCAGAAACTGAAACCCAAAAATTGATACACATCTATCCAAAATGAAATCTCAGAATCACAAACACATCCCACTTAATTTTATTTTCCTCTCTGATTACAGTATTCACAAAGAAAATGACAGAGCTCATCAACTTCAGTGCAAGCCAGAGAAGTGATTCCAAGTGCCAGAAAAATAAAGGTGTGGAGGGAAGATCAATAGTCACCTCCCAGGAGAAGAGCAGTAACAAAATATTTCTATTCACTCACCAAGGGATCAGCCTCACTTAGCTGTAGCCATCACTCTGCAGCAGCAGAGATTAGGGGTTCAGGTGTCCTTAACACCGATTTCTCAAGGAATCTAGGTGCAGTGTTCTCTAGAATGAGTATTATGATAACGCACAGAACTCACCGGTAAAGAGGAGGAGAAAGTTGGTATCTTTAAAAGACATTTTAAAAAATTCTACTTCAATGCTTTTTACCTATACTGATTCAGTAGAGCAGCAAGAGGTTTTCTTCTTGGGATGCACACAGGAGGAGGCATTAGGGGATAAAACATGACACAAACTGAGAGGCTTAATTTGTTCTACATTTGCTGTGCTGATTCATGAGAGTTCAACATGGCAAGAGGTAGTAAGTTCTTGATGTGCAACTTAGAAAAGCAGAAGCTGATAGTATCTTATAGCACTGAACAGCACAGGCATTTCCAGAACAAAAGAGAATCAGTTATCTGCCTACTTTTCACCTTTTTCGTTTCTTGTGTTGCACAAAGTTTCATGAACTTGACTCCCCAGGACACTAAATTCAACCTATGCTTTATATGCAATCCTCTTCAGAAGCAGAGAAAAACTAAACCCGGCATATTTATTAGCCCCCTCACTTTCCAGTAGACAGTGTCTCCCTACGAGAGTTGGGTGTATGTGTTCAGAAAAAGTAAGATTACCAAGATGCTTTCTCCTCCTTTTTACAGGCTACTATGAGTGACAGGTAGTGGATTAAACCACCGAGGGAATTTACCTTATCACAAAAGGGTTTGACAGAATCAAACGATAAGATTCACCTCCTCAATGCTCCAGCCACCCCATGATTCATCTACAACTATTGGATTATCACACTCTTTTCTCCTAGCTTTGCCTCAGAATGCTGTTCACGCCACACTATCAGCTTCTTTTTAATGCCTCCAATCTAAAGCTATCATTCCAAGTTAACACAAATCGGCTCTGTATTTTTATATTACCTTGATTTTAAAAGATATAAGTACTATTTCAACATGAGATCTTAAATACATCTAATTGGAAAATTTTCAGTGGATTATCATCGGGGGGGCTGGAGGGAGGCAGGGAAGCCAGGCACTTTAAAAATAAGTTTTCTAAAGTCCTCGATGGAATTTCTAATGAACAGAGATGTGGCAAAAGAGGGGGAACCTCAAAAATGACCAGGATCCCAATGCTCAAGTAGAGTTTTCATTGACCAGAAGAAATAGGGTTGAAGCAACCTGGAGAGGAGATGATTGCCCTTGCTATTTACCTTTTACCCTTTGCTTTTAGGAAGGACAATAATACATACCTCACCAGGCTGTGGTAAAGCTAACCTGACAGTCCTTGAGTAGAAGAGGCTATAAAAATGCTCCACGCATCTATATTTGTACACAGTGCATATTATCAGCTGTGAAACTCACCCAATATAGCAACGACTTCATCATCCTGGATTACTTCCAAAGACCCCGAAACCACAAAGCAAAGGCTGTCGACGCTCTCACCAGCGTGGTAGATCAGGTCTCCTGGGGCACAGTGCACTGTCTGAAATTCCATGGCAAGTGCTCGAAGGCACCCATCGCTCGCCAGCCTGAAGGCTGGGTGCTCCTTGAAAACTTTGCGGTTCAGATGCACACAGATATCTGCTCTCATGTCCTTAGGGCATATCTGCAAAACCTGAGAAGGAAATTAGGCAATCAATTCCTCTGTGTGGCTTTTATTTGTCTATTATCCCTATTTTACTACACAAGGTTTAAGAACTACTTTCCTCCTCCTTAAAAAATTTCTAATGTAAGTCAGTATAATTTTTTTTATATTATTTATACACATAAGCCACAATACTAACTTAGCCTACTTTACAATACCTGAAGGAAAATAATGTTTTCATCTCAGCAACATGCTCGGCTGGATATTGAATTACCAGGATAAGGCTTCAGGTTTTTAAGACAATAAAACTCAGACCACAGCAGTAGAGAAAGGGGTGAAGAAAAGCTTCCTGAAGAATTGTTTCTAGAGGGTAGGTCACTGTTTTGATAGGCAAACTCCACGAAAGGCCTGCACAAATTACATGCTCCAAGTGAGAGAATATTGTACAGAGAAGTGTAATCTCATATCCCTTTAACAAAACAAACAAACAAAGAGTTATTAAAAGTTTCATTAGCAGATAATCGAGATTTGCAGGTATTCAAAGTCACCTCTCAATGGAAGTAACAAGTGTTTTCTTCATCCAAGAAGGGGACTTTAAGGTATGATGCTGTGTTGGGCAACTTTTGATTTTCCAAATGCAACATTGCTCACGGCAATTCATGATGTGTGCTCCTAAGGGTACACAAACTGATGCTTAACAAAATGCATCAGTACCTGTACCAATCAGGGCCATTTCTGAAGTTTTTTGATATAATACAGACAGACAAATGGAAAGAATACAGAATTATTACTGCACGTACAGATTAAAAGTTCCTGACAAAGACACTGGAAATACAGAATATGAACAGAGTTTTGGAATGACAAAATCCTTAGAGGACAGTCTGAGACTGAGTACATCTCAGGATGTATTATTTGGGAAAAGCATTGATTAGTTTAAGTCTGCCTCATTCTTCTTTTGCATTAGTAACTATTCTATCCGATCAAGGAGCGCTCTGGGTGAGCTTCCGGCTTACTCCCACACATTTTCCTGGATGGAAAGTGATGGCTGCTTCAATGCAAACACTCCTGGAAAACATAAAGGTAGCAAAAGAAGCACTATGGCTATGCCTACAATAGGGGTCTTTGCAAGATCTGAGCAGAAAACCAAGCTCTGTGCATGGCACTGGTTCCAGATATTACTCTGGCTACTCCAAATGCAAACGACTATGCCCAATATCATCATCTTTGGCACACATCCAAGCAGACCTGCTATTACAGGTACTACTTCTGAAAGCACTTAAGTGTAGTGCTGAGTGTAGTAGTCATCACCCTCATGGACGATCTCTCCCGGCTGCAACACAGAGAGCAGCAGCCGAACTTTCCATTTCTCAAGTTCACCAGGCTCACAGAAGTGGGTTGGGACAGCCCAACCAGCATTTAACACGGAACACAGTGGTGGTCATAGCTGTCTTTGCATTTATCTCATTTACTCTGGCAACAAAAACATTCTGTATTTGCAGATGCTGGCCAAACTTTGCTACTGGAATTACACACACTTCACAGTTACTTGAACATCATGAACGAAAAGTCAAGTTCACCAGGCTCACAGAAGTGGGTTGGGACAGCCCAACCAGCATTTAACACGGAACACAGTGGTGGTCATAGCTGTCTTTGCATTTATCTCATTTACTCTGGCAACAAAAACATTCTGTATTTGCAGATGCTGGCCAAACTTTGCTACTGGAATTACACACACTTCACAGTTACTTGAACATCATGAATGAAAAGTGTTGTTGTAATAGAAACAGTAGTAAGAAAACCTGAATATACAAGAGCATATGTAAAATGAGGCTCTTATCCAAAAACCCCATAGTTTCCTAGTCTAAGAGGAAGTTAACTCATTTTCCATTCTCCATTTAGAGAAGTTGTCTCCAAACTTCACATAGATTAAAGGGATTAAAGACATTTGAGAGTTACAGACAAATGGCAAAAGACTTTCATTTGTATGGGAGGTAAGAAACGTATCTTCATGGATTAATTTTAGAATCTTTCAGCAGCTCGTGGTTAAATTTTGTTAGACTGGCATTTTCTAGACTTCTAGACTTTGCTTTTAGCTGATTATTCACTCCTTGGCATGCCTGCAGTTAACACTAAAGTGACAAATTGGTGGCCTACAAAATAGCGAGAAGATTGATTCTGTGCTAAGTTCATCTTTAGCTATCTGCCTCGTCTGTAGAAAGCCGCAGAGCATTACACAGCAGCACAACAACTACCACTGTTCCGTCACAGGAGCAATACATGTTTTATTCATTGCGTGACAGCCTAGAAGTTACGCACAGGCATCAAACCAATGGAGCTCAGACCTGAGAGTTTATGGATGGGCACAGACATTAGTCAGTCTTCTATCTGCTAGCTTTTGCCATGCAGATGGAAGCTGATTTCTTGGTTTTACAGTCATCATTACTGGCAGTTCAGCTATGAACACACTAGTTAGTGAAAACACCACCATGATAAGCTCTTTGATGTCCTGATAATTGGATGCTTTTTTTAAGATACTTCTCAAAGGCTACAGTGAGTTGTGCTTGGTGTAGTTATCCTGCTGTTTCCTAAGGCATTCTTAAAGCATTTCTCTCCTTATCAGAGAAGCCAAGAATGAACTTTGAAGATAAGCTAAACCAAACATGTTTTACAGAGCAATTTTTTCTTGTTGCTTTGTTAAAATGATGAGAGGAGCTTGTACTGAGGGTGGATGACAGCACCAGCATTCATTACACTCTGTGTCCTCAGATGCTGTCTCTCCACCCTCCCCAAACGTACGTACCTCAGGTACGTACCTACCTCAGACCCAAAGCCCCTCACACAAAGGTATTCTGTGAGAAAACAGGCAGAGCAGCTTCTGATCAGCACTATTCAGTACTAAAATGCCATTTATTTCTGAAAGCTGATAGGATGGACAATGCTTCCCAGAACTGTCATCTGGGATCTAAATGGCAGATACACTGAAGACTATTTAGGAAAGCAAACAGTACCCTGTGTACCCACTGGTCTCCAGACAGCCCAGTGCAAGGCCACATCTGTTCTACTCTTTCGTAACGATGCTTTAGACAGAAAGGAGATTGTTTGCTGTTTAACTGCATCATCTACAGTTTTGAATACTAAATTAAGCCTCCAGCCAGAAGGCTGGTGATCAGAACATCGGTATGATTTCCTGAATGAACCACCCCACAAATCACATCTCTCTACAAGCAGAAGAAAAACAGTATCTATCTCCATAAAAGCTGGCAAGTAATATGAAAGCGGGAAGTGGTTGCTTTTGTACATTTGTTCTGGTGAGGGCCCATCCGTTATTTTAAAAGACACAGTAGGAATTTTACTTGTAAACTCAATGACTTAGGAAGGTGACATTTGACTCACATAAGGCAGATTTCAAACAATACATTATTATTAATGAAAGCGGGAAGTCATTACTATAATAGATTTAACCTGAGCACAGAATATTACATGCAAATTTTACGAAGATAGAACAAATTTAACTTTGTATTCAGGCTCACAGAGCTGCAAGAAACCTCCCACAACAGAAATACTGCAAAAAAAATTCAAACTTGCATTTGAAAAAATTCTGAGATTGTGTTAGGTTGGAAATTTTTACTTAATTATCCTTCTTTATTTACTGAAAACCAAGCTCTTACCTTCATCGTTTTTACACTACTTCATGACACGTACCAGCAACACATGCATACTTTTACCACTAACCTATGTCAGTATGATAGAATAGGTAAAATACTGTATTTGAAAGTTTAAAATTAAGGGAAGCTACTACTTGTAACTATTTAAAGAATATTTGTCATCTTTACTAAGAAAAGTACCTCCTGTTTATCTTAATGAAAAACTTCCAGGATGTGACTTGTTTCCTTGCAGTTTAATTTACTTACCTTTTCAGTATCTATTCCTCTGGACATTGACCAGGTGGAAACAATATAATCCATCACACGCTCGCTCAGTCCTTTAGGGACCTGGTAGAGCTTTAGAAAGTCCCGGACACTGTTCAGCATTTCATGGTATCTGTTTGTATTAGCATACATTTGCTGAAATATGGTTGTCACGTTACCAAAAATGGTTGCATAGAGAAGGGCTGTAAAAAAGAAGAAAAATAACAGATATAATATGCAAGCTGTGATGATCAGTGTGTGTTCCACTGTGCTCTAAGAGAGGAAATGCCAGGCCCACAGAAATACATGCAATATCGATGCTTTGTTAGAAAGGCCCGATGAGCACAAGCATTTATAGGTCACCTTCAGCACTACAAATTGAGGACCACCACCTTCAGCACTAAAAACTGAGGACCACCACCTACTTTTCTGATGGCGAGTCCTGCAACACAGAGTTCCTGAAACACAACTCCTCGTCACTGTCCAAACAATTCAGCAGTATCCAAACCCTTACGAAACCACAAGACACAAGAATTTTAAGACAAATAGCTTGACAGCAAATACTTTAAAATTTCATCTCTGGTTTGTAGCGCCTCTGTGGAAATGCCACCTGTGACAGATTTCCAAGCTTTAAGTGCATTACCACAGTAGTAAGCCAAGTCATCATTACCCACCTCAGTGTGACAACAACAATGCATCAAAGCAGAAGATGGAATATGCAATAAACTGCTACCATGGGTCAGTGATTTATAGATGTAAGTTTAATAATACATAAAAAGTCACATTATGCTTTATATTCTTCAGGCAGAAGAACAGCAAGGCCTGAGGCAAGAGCTAGAGCCCTCAAACACAGACCAAATGCTGCACAGCCCTTGTGACTTCATTCAGCGTAGTTATGAAGCCAGCTGGTTCATCAAGATGGGTTTAAGAATAAACATGAGAAAGGAAAAAAAGGCAGTATTTCCAGGTGTGGAGAGAAGCAGATGAACACACAGGACTTGAAAAGATCCGCCTGCTGAATCCCAAGAAGAGCAGGCTGGTGGAAGTCTCAATGGTCACATTTTGATGGCTTGCAGAGGCTGGGGCTGAGGCTTTTCCAGCCAATCCAGCCCTGAATGAAAGAGAAGGACAGGAAGCATCAAGGGAGCTTTCCTAAACTGTGAATCAGGCCAGTGGTAAGTGAGAGGGTGGCTGGAGAGAGAGAGAGGTACAGTCAGACAGCAGATGAGCCAATAACCACCAGTAAGTGCTCTGGCTTGCCGAGGAAGTTCTTCCTCTTTTATCATTTCCTGTCCTCCAAAACAGGCACCAAATTGTTAGTATCTCTTCCACGCAAGGCAAAAGCAAATAATAAGTCATATTTACATAAAAATAAGAGAATATTTTGCCTTATCTAAATATCCTTTTTTGCTGTTTATTTCCCCCCACTTAAAAAAAAAAATAATGTCCTCATCCCATTCATTCCTTCGCAAATGCAGTGATTTATTCAGGTCACTGTTACAGGCAGATACCCTTAAGCCAACTGAGATGCTTTAGGGTTTTATGACCAACAAAAATCTTTGATAATGTGCAAGAGAAACTTACAGGACTGTCTTTTTCCCTTGATCAGCGAGGGAGGTGATTTAAATTTAGACTTGCTCAAGGCCTTTACACTGCCGATCCTCTACAGCATTTCTTCTTGATGCTGTATAACTTCTTTTGTTTTTACGAGTTCCTGTAGAACCAACTCTCCCCTTTTCCAACTACCCCTCTGTACAGACAGGTATAAATATATATATACACAAATGTGCAAACTCAGTTTAAAAAGGTGGAGAGCATAAATAGGGATACAGTGATTAGAAATGCATAGATTATTTCTCTGTTTAACCTTAACCTGTGCCTGAGCTAAACCATACCGGGGATTTTAATGCAATGAGTACTGAAGAATGAAGAAATGCTTTAAAAATCAGTTTTACTATAAATATTCCTTAATCCATGAGCAGTTTTGTATTTGAACAGCATTACCTTTCCCTAACTACATCCTATTTTGCTCTGTGTTATGCAGATGCAAACACAACCCTACAAGATTGATACATTTGACCGTACTTACTTTTACCATGTTCCCCAAGAGAAACTGAACGCAGGGCCTTCAAAACCATGAAGTCCCACTGGCAGGACTCTGCAGCAGCACAAGTCATCCACAAACACGGTTATTCTGCTAGCCAGGGTAACACTGACAATAAGTGTCAGATTAGGAAGAGGGTCACAAGCAAATTCTTACCTGTAGATTTCTGGGCAACCATCCTCGTGCACATACAACTGTCTCTTGCTCTCAGACGAGAGACCTAATGGTTCAGCACCTTGGGACCTACAGCTCTGTGCCAGCAAAGGTAAAATGGAGCCCCCACTCTACTGTCCAGCTACACAAAGCCTAATGAAAAACCAGAAATGTGGTTCTTCATTTTATCATGAGGTGAGCAGTCCTAGAGCCATTTCCACTGCAAACCGCAGCTGCTGTGCTCCACCATGACAATTATCCTGCCACGAAAAATTATTCTTGCCTACATTCATTTTTTATTTAAAAAAAAAAATCCCCAAACTTGCAATCCTTAATTTATCATTAGCTAACCACTTTATTACTATTAAAGACACATTAAAGTCAAGGATTTTTGCAGCCTAATATTGGGTAGATATACTAGCATATTAAACATTGACCTCCTCTGCATAGAAATAGCTAGCTGTGTCTTTCCTTCTTTGCAAAGGAATAATGAAATGAACCCACTGCAGTACACTGCAGCCCCAGAAAGATTTCAGAAACACACACTCTGCTACAGAGAGAGAGTTGGGCAATTTACAACAGAGTAAAATCTCCAAATCCTTGTTTCAAGACTGATTGAACACTGAGACCACTGCCTTGTAACAGCAACAGTGCAGGTCATATGTCAACATCCAAAGGTCCCAGGAACCCTTGGCCAGAGTTTGTAGCGTTGCCCTAGAGATCTATAGAATCTATCAACTCCTTAGCACTCCCATGTGCAGAGGATCACAGGAGTTAAGGAAAAGTATTTTAAGGGTTGTAGAAGAGTGGGAGGGGAAAATCGTTGTTTGGGATGGATTCAGCTCAAATAAGGCCACAAGTGCACCACGCAGAAAGGTCACAAATTAACCTGACCCCAACAACTTCCTTGGATGCATCAGCTAGATGGAGGCTGTGCAATGCTTTTTGAGGAATTGTGTCCAGAGTAAGCCTATAGCAGCCATGCCTATAGATCAACCAAGGAGAAAATTCCTTCTGCAGAACCAGCAATAGCCCGTTCTAACGCTTCATACAAAGCTGCAGTCCATCAAGCAGACAGCGAACACCTCCTCTCCATGAACGTCAAGATCCCTTATAAAAGACACAGCCCCCCCTCGACATTAATATTATTTTCTGACAATAGATAAAGAAAAACACATTGTCCCCAACAATGTGGCTACCCATTTACAATGCAGTTTGTGTCACCCCATTTAAACCACTGTTTAAATAACGTCAAAGATAAAAGCATAGTAATTTCAATAGCCAATTACCCACACGAGTGAATCATGAAGGTCAGACACAGGTTGGAAAGGTCACCAAATCATCTGCTACTTGTAATGATGTAACAAATAAGAATAGAGAAATAAATACAAGCCAG